TAATAACAAAATATTGATAAAATGTAAACAGTAATTGAATCCGAAAGAAATCTTATTTTGCCTAATAACAATAATGAAATCTGTTGGTTGGTTTCTGAAAATAAATATAATTAATACCTTATATCGTTTGTGTGATAAATGATAGGGACAAAACAGAAAACAATCGAAATATTAGGACAACACTACATTTAGCACGTTAGACAACTATACTTAACACACTAAACGCTGTAGTATTAAAGTAAGTGTAGTAATTCTTTAAGAATTTACATAAAGCTCGCAAAAGCTAATAAAATAGAAACATTAAACAGTCTAGATTTTTGATGTTGTTTTTCTAAAGAGTGTATATAGACAAATATATATATAGAGTGCGAATAAACAAATCTTAAACGGAGAAATGGAACACGGAATTGGAATCGCACTAGTGATGTATCCGACTCACGCCACACGAGACTCGACGTTCGGTAATAGAGCGCTGTTTAATCTGTGAACACGGCTGGCTCGCTCAGTTTTTGCGAGGGCAAAATTTGCGCGTTCGTTAATCATGCTGAAGAATTCCTAACATAGTTTTGCCGTCGTTATGCGCCATATTTGAACTTTTACCAGAATACCGCAGCATTACCGCGGTGATTGACACCGGGTGTGCAACAGATTATACAGTGTCCTGAAATATGTTAGACCCAATTTAGGGTTCCATACTTAAACCGTTAATCCAATATGTACCTTAGAGGCATACAATAGTAACTCAACATTTTTCTAATCCTTTTTCTTACACCATTAAAATCGCAAGAACAAATTCTACACAATAGTATAAAGCATTAAGTCCTACGACACCTAATTTTATCGCATATGACATACTAACCTGCCTCTCCTATAAAATTTGTGTTTTGTCACATAATGCTGTTTACATCTGAGGTACAGAAATTTCTGTACGTCTACCGGTGTACGGTTTGTACTAAAAAAAAAGTTAAAAACCTTGAGCTTATATGTAACTTCGATCAAAATGTACAGCCATTCATATCTTGTCCTATTTATATATTTTGAGACTGGCAATTTCATTGATCAAAACCCATTCATAGTCAAAGTCAAAATTTCTTTATTCAATATAGGCTTATAGTGCAGAGCAAGAGTCATTTCCACACATCCTTGCCGTTAGTGTACATAGCTTTTTGAAATTGTTCATACTTAGTTGTTAGTGGATGTCACCTATTTTATTATAAAATTAAAACCAAAAAAACGTCTTTGTTGTTTAAGCCAGTCTAAGCCTCGGTACTTCGACTTCATATTTTTTTGTAAATAGGTGGATATTATTACGCATATGATGTTCGTATTATTTAATTACCTTTATACGGAATCTACAAAGCCCAATTTTTCGCATTTGTTTTTATGATTTAAACTGTTTACTTTTGTTCCATTAGGGTCGAGGGACAATTCTTAATGACTACGGGAATATATTGACAAGGTTTTCGATCATACCAGGATGAAAAGAGACATATAATGCTGTAAGGATCACACGACAACTTGACAGGTGAATTTTATTAGTTAGCACTCCTACGAGTACGTAAACGGTACGGGAATACGAACCCAAGCTTAAAATCGCAATTTTGACGTGCCAGCCTTGAACCACGTCTCATCGTTTTGAAAACTGTTAAGAGGTCATACTAAACTCGTGCTAGCTCAGTGTCCGGGCGCCGTTTATTTACAATGAGAGTTAAATGTACATTATTAATTTCACGTATTAACGTGAATTAGTCTGATTTCTCGAATGCCAGTGACACTTATTATTGTAATACGTAATAGTATCCTACCAATTGTGTACAGCTTTTAGTGGTGGTGACGCCCACGTCTCAAGAAATAAAATGGGTAGTTACATTTTACGGCATAAAAGTAATAGATGTGCTAACTCAACTTAATACGCTAGCTTCACTTCAAATGTCATTAACACGTGAACCAAAATATATGGATCTTTTACGTAAGAGAGTGACATTTGGCATGGTTAAAGTTTGTATGGGGAAGACTTCAGAATGCTAACATTTATGTATATTATTTGTTACAGATACATCGAATTAAATAAATTATTCGTTGTTTACTTTCCTAACAAACAAATGATGATGATGACGAAGAGTGATATACAGAGAAAAGATTGTTGCCGAAAAGTTTTAAAATGGCATAAGGAGTCTTGTAATAATTTATTAGGTTAATTTATAATTCATTAAATTGATAATTACCGATTAATTAATTACCGATGCGCGACTACTAACATTGATAAAAACAGTTAAGATGTTTTACTACACGAAACCTGTTTTACTTTTCCATGACGTCTGTGATATTGAAATGTATCATGGATATATAATACTTATGCTAAGCAGGTTAAAAATTACTTTATTTAAATAATATATGGCTATTAATTTGAATCATCATCGAATTGAAAGGTGGTTATAACCATGTCGGATGGTCAAGCAATAAAGAATTCGTGACAATACAAATAAAGTGGCAACAATTATATTAGACAAACAATAACATTATAAAGTGCATAAACTAATGAGGTTTGCCCACGAAATAATAGAACTTGCAAACCAGAAATGCACCAGTCAAAGTCACACGGACGCCAAAGGGAAAACAAACTCCATATGGAGGCAACAACAACTATTACGTCAATCGCCATAATGAATACGAAACGATCGTATAATATCTATTAAGGAATGTTATGGACAAAATGATTTAATATTATCTTCCTTCCCTATACGAGGAACCGATCCCCAATAGAAACAACCAAGTGCCTTTACAAACGAAAAGCGCTATTTTGAACTCTATTACGTACAATATTGGTGTCACATCAACTTCCATATATCATTGCTTCCTATACTATTTTTCTTCGCACCCCACGTAATTAACTGTGTTCCCTTCCGAATACTAAACACCTATTTAGTACTGACTATCCGCGAGAAGGAGACGGAGCCATATCTTGGAGTGAGGGTGAAAGAGACGCAAAATGAGGGAAGCCAACCCTAAAGTTTTCACTTCACGCGTAGAAACGATTCAGGGGCGGTTAGACGCATCGGAGATGCTCCCTACTTGCGGGCCATATTTGGAGATTTAACCAAGTGTGAATGATAGGAAGCTGGTTATTTATAAACGAACTGTTATTCCATATCAGATCTTTTGTTCGTTCTATTTGTGCGCATTAAAGCGTCCGTTATATTTATAGCGTTCGTTGAGAACGGCGTACGTAATATATTATTTTAAACACAATAACGATTTAAAACGAATATTTCTATAAAATTATGGTGATAGTTACTGGTTTATTTATTGACTAACTTACAGGGCCAAAGCGATGGTACGTACAAGAGAAGTGAAGAAACTATAAATATATGCAATAATAAACGCCTTTTTAATTGTTGGATATTTAACAAATAAATTATAACTATATGATATTAACTACATTTCAAAAAAGAAATTGCTTCTTTATAAAGATTACAACTGCATAAACTTGAAATTATTTTAAAAAGTCCATCTTCCATATAATCTTAATGAAAATTCTTGTGACAGGATTGGATTAAGCGAGTTAGTATGTCGTGTCTATTTATTACATTCTGTCCAGAAACAATTAGAAGATTATGTCAATTGTAACCAAAGAACTCTAACGAAGTTTTTAAAAAAGACTTTACTAATAAGTTAGTATAAAAATTATCTCAACTGTTATAAAAATTTTACAGTTACATAAATCTAAAACGTATTTGTACTGAAATCGGGAAAAAGAACAAAATACTTATCAACATTAATGAACCTAACTAGCTACTTACGAATAGATACGTTTACTAAAATTTATTTAATACTTTCTATAATTTTGGCTCAGGATCGTACTTCGAGCCAGTCTGTGGAGGCCTATGTTCAGCAGTGGATTCAAACAGGCTGAAACGATGATGATGATGATAATTTGTTTTACTTAATAATATTATGATCTAGACTAGTCGCACACCACAAATAATTTTTAAATAGGATAAAATTTAGCGTCATTTCTAGCAAATATAAACGATATTTAAATAATGTTGTTCAGAAATTATGTAATAACAAAAAAAAAACACCTGATTTGCGCCTAAAGAAATTATGTCACTTCAGAACTATTGAATGCTTCCATGATTTTCTCATTATGTATTACGTTTAGTTTCCAGCATTACTTGCTAAAATCCGCGTTCACACGAAAAGATAAGGTTTTTGTAATAAATAATTAATCAATCGAAATAATAGAAAAGAATTTTAATAAGCTAACGATGTGTTTTTCATTTAAAAATGTTCTCATCGTAAATTCAAAGTGATAATTGTAAGCGTATGGTTTTTTATGGTCAAACGTGTTGCTTGTATAGCCGTAGGGCAGAAATAATTAATCTAAATTACCGACAAAACGGGTTCTTTGAATTTTAAAAACAAATAAATCATACGCGAATTCACAATCGCCGTTGTCGTAGTAAATCACGGGAGCTAATTTGAAACGGATCTGTAAACAGGGACTGGGTTGAAATACACCAAAGAGTCCCCCCCACTGCAAGCACTAATCTCATAAAGGGAGCCCAGGCTGTCTCTCAAAAGGATTTAACAAGCGGCATTCACGGCTGCTCATTATATTTTTATACTTTATTCCTACAGTGGCGGGCATAAAGTGCGCGATCAAAACGCGCGAACCCCTACAAAAGGTAATTATGTTTTGATTCGTACAGAGAGAAAAAAAAATCGAGCATCACAAAGGAGACTAACGAGATAAGAGTGTGCTAAATCGCTCCCCCCTGCTCCCCTCTCGGATCAATTCCGAAACAAACGGTCGATTGGTGGAGCGGGACGGCTTCACAGAGGCGGGCTGGTGCAGGGCACGCCCACTATCCGGCGCGAGGGACCAACTTGCCGCCGGCACGCCAGTCAACCTCCAGCCGCGCCCGCATGCGTACACGGCCGAGCGACGGTCGCACAGTGAGACAGTGTGCTAGCTAAATGGAACTGAGCGGCGTTCAATGTTAAAGAAACAAAGCCACGCGGAAAGGGAAGTGAACATGGCGATACAGAGCGTTTCGAGGTACCAGAGCAGCGCCGTCGAGGCGACGGAGCCGCCCAAGGCGTCCCGCATCAGTTTCAGCGTGGCCTCCATACTGGCCGACACGAAGGGCAGCCAGGCGGGGGAAACGGCCGAGATCATAAGGCACCACAGGACGATACCGGAGTCCCCGCTGCGGCAGTCCCCCGCCGCCCAGCCGGAGCTCCCCGGCGAAAAGTCCCTCTCGCCCAGGCCCTCCTCGCAAACGTCGCCTGTGAACCTCAACGCGTCAGCGACGGTCACTTCCTCGGAGGACGAGTACGAGGACTCAGTAAACCAGGAGGACTCTATAGTTGACGTGGAAGACCTCCAGAACGGGATAGCCAGTGATGACGAGGAGAGATCGTCGACGGGGAATGAGAAAGGGAGGCTGGGCCCGATTAGGCCGACACCGTTTAGCGCGTTAGCGGCGGCAGCGGCCGCTTACCACGGCCTAGGTTGGCCTGGACCTCCGTCAGTGGTACCCTCGTTCGGACCCCTCTTCCAGTCCCACTTCCCCGGACATATAACAGGTTAGTAGACCCCATCGGTTTTTTTTCGTTGTGTACGCTTCCCATTATCAGTTGTAATACGTAGCGGAGCCCGTTTTTGTTAGTTCATGGTAATGATAATTTATTGCCTGCTTTTCTTTGCGGAATAGCCGACCATTCATCATTATTTCTTGTCGTATTGTGAATTCGTTTCTCTAGTTTTCGGTGTTCAATCCTGCCTACCTTTCTGAATGTTCGAATGCGCCCGAAATATTTTCCTTCTCTTCTAGTCGAATGATAAATTTTGAAGTTTATTTTAAATGCAGATACAATATTTTGATAGCACAATATTTTATTATTTTTTAAATTAATTATTTATTTTTGTTATTTCATTAATGTTAATTAAATTTGAAAATAGTATTTTTACTTTCGGTTATATAACATTGTTATTAACTTTCAGATAGAAGTTTTTATAAATAATAAATACTTATGAAATTATATAGTTTTATATTATAACTTAGATTAGAAAATTATTACCTCGAAGAGAGAAGAATTCATTAAATATTCGTTTTAATTTTCCTTTTTAATGTACGTTTAAATAAATGTAAAAAATATGTAAAAAATGTAAAAAATGTTTAAATAAATGCAATAATTTAAAAAAAAAAGAAAGAAAGAAAGAAATGTGATTACTGCGAATAATCGGCTCGGTGCTTAAAGTAATAAAAAAATATGGATTCAATCTTCTATTTTTATTAATACATTTCTGTGTGATAACGTTACTTTTAAGCCCATTAGTAATAACTGTGCAGTATATTATTATATTAATATTATGAAAGCGTAACCGTCTCTCAGAATTATTGACCACAACCTATTGTATTAGAAATAAAATACTTATTGTTGGATCAATGTTGGTTTTAGTCAATGTACGAAGAACAATGGAATGAAATATTGCCGTTTAAAGTTAAATCTAATTTTATAAATTTCGTTCAATAACTATTTACAATTGTTTAAATATTGAAAATGGGTGAGCACCGCTAATGAATGTTTATCCAAGCAAAACAACACGTAAGTGGTATACAAAAAAATAGCGTTCTTCACAAAAATGTTACCTCGAATTTTTTATTTAACTTATGAAATTTATTTGAGATATTAACTAGAAATATGTTTAAAAAGAGTTTAGTCCATTTACATACATATAAAATTAAAACAACCTAGTTTCTAGGGCTTAGAGTTCTTTACTGGTGGAGTTAGTAAAAATTAAGTAAATTTTGTCAATTATATTATTTTTCTGTGCAAATTGACTCCAAAATATTACTTTATTTTGTTACTGAATTCTGATGATGGTTTTATAATCGTTAAAATAATAATAGTTACATGAATATTACGAGTATTATTGCTATATTTTAGTTGTTATTATATGGGTAGCACGGTTCCGTGTTTACATGTTTTGGAGACAATATCGATAGCAGAGGCGGGACATACTTAATAACTAAATCACTAAATAAGATAGTTAATAATTTTCGATATTTATATTAGATAATTTCGCAATTTATTGTAGATCACTTCAATGTTATGTTAGTTATAACAGGAATAGTTGCGGCAGTGACGAACCATGACCACGATTGCATTATAAACCTAAAATTGATATCTCTACCAAAAATAACAACTTCCCCCATTAACAAAAATAACTGTTAAGGGTTCATTACTAACGAGATGTTTCATCGGAACGTTTTATCGTTAGCTAGTGTCGCAAGTGGCGTGAAGCGAAAGCCCGCGCGTCAGTGATCCCTCTTAACCCATACAACCGGTTACGGTAGGCAAACAAACAAAAGGGCTCCGGCAATAAGCCAGACATAAATAACCGATCTGTCGAATCGCGAAAACAATATCCCCGCGACAAGATGGCGGGATTTGGCCACGGCCGCTGCTTTGCATAAGCGACCTGATAGGCCTCGGGGCGGAGATTGCTTGCCGCAGGAAAGTAGACTCTATCTCCTTACAATAGGGTAGAGTAGATTCAGTCATCCCAGCCTAATAGCCAGTGCAAAATTTGGGAAGAATGTTGCAATGGAGCAAGCACGCGGCACTGGCTCTTTTGTTGCTTTTGTCAAGAATGGGCAGGTTCGTTCAGGGGTTTCAAGGCTTTGCCCATGGTATCGCTTAGTGAGGTAACCGTTTACCTCAATTATACAACAAAATAAATAAATATTGTCAACGCTATTAAACGAAACAAAGTACTGAAAACTCGAATTTTGCGGTGATCACTTAATATCAGGTGAAGAATGATTGCTCGTTTTCTACTAGCCCATAAAAAAGTCTTCTTTTGACTAACTAATTATCTTGTAAATTCGCTACAATTTATTTGAATACCTAAAGGAAACCCATTGTTTCATAAGTTACCGCTTGCTTCGATGAAATCAAATATTTAACGGTGGTAGGGCCACGTACCAGCCGCGGCTGTTGCACGAATGGGCAGGCTCATTCGGGTAAGTACCACGACCTAACAGAAGACCTGCGTCAAGTTTTAAGACTTTTCGCGTCTAATATACTTTTTTAAGTAATCTCTATTGGTATATAGTAGAAGATAACAGTTTAATGCTTCAATAGAAAATGAATAGATTAGTCACTACTTGATATATATTATCTTAATTTAGCTTTTATAAAGTATATGTTCCACGCTAAGCGCTTAATTGAATCTGTGGGAATAAGCCATATTGGTGCCGACAAAACATTTTATTTGTTAAACATAAAATAAGTTTGTTCGGCAGACCGTATTCAGCCGCTATCAACCGAATGTAAATTAAAAAAAAAATAAAGTATGAAATGGCCAACCGCTCTAAGACCGCAAGTGCAAATAATGACCGATTGTAGCGCGGTAATTGTATAAACTCGTTAAATGGTCGGCCCTAATCTAAACGGCGACCTTTGATATCGTGAACTCACGCGAAGGCGCTAGACTTGGCCACGTGGAGTTTTGCGAGTAAAATTTGAAATCGAACCACAGCAGCAGCCAACAGCAATGCATCGATTAACATATATTTAGCGTAATTAATTGGTTCGATTGCAAAACAATGAGCATCGTATTACTCGGTGAATTTTTAAGGCTTTTGAAATTGTTGTTGAAAATATTGAATCATTATGAAATAAATAAATTGGACATTCAACACGTCAAAGTGTTTATTCGATGATGATGAAGTTAATTTAAGACTGTATCCAGTCCAGATTTTCGCATTAACCCTGGCAATTTCTGGCAAATTTTAATTAATAACTTTATTTTGACTTTTGTGACGCTTAGTGTAGGTAAAATTATTATATAATAAAATTGGGAAAAATAGTGAAATCAATTATTTTAAATTAAATTAAAAAAAATTACTTTAATCCTTGTAATTTACTTACTTATTTTCATTGAGTAGCCATTAGAATATTATGCAGATCAAGCCCAGGCAAGTACTATTTAATATTTGTAATAAATCATAGTTTTAGTAATTGTCCTGTTTGCAAGAATTATTTTATTAGTTAGTTGATTAACTATTTTATTAGTTAGTTGATACATCGATATAGTTCGCGAGCAGAGAAGGTATCTGAAATGAAAAGGAGTTGTCGACGTTTCGGTATTAGGTACAGACGGGTATTTCCCGTCCGCGTCGCATTTGTGGTTGCGTGTTTCGGTACGATATTGGTGCACAAATGGCGACCAACATGGTTGTTAGTGCCCTGTTAAAGTACACGCTACGTTTAGAAATTAGCTTAAGGAGTTGCCAGCGACAAGTCTACGGACTAAGTTTTTTTTCCTAAGTGTTAAATGCCAAATCACGTTGCGATTGTGAACATTAAATTTGCGGTGGTCATGCCCGCTTCTCCCCTGATATGATATTGTAATAGAATGATAAAGAGCATGATCTATAGTATTTCGCAAATTGATTTAAAATTTATATCAAATTTAGAGACCACCGGAACAGATAGTGGGGTAATTTAGTTTTTAGAACAGTTGTTAAATCAACAGTTTCAATCTGTTAATCAAACTTAAATATGTTCCCGTTTGTTTAAATTCTTTATTGATAGTAATAATTTACTTCATTACTTAGAGGTACTATAAACAATCATTGCATTGATAGAGATTTAATAAATCTAAAGACATTGTTGCTGTCAAGCAGTAGTTATAAATCAGGTATATTTTGACGTGGACACGCGATGTCAATGAAAATGTAAATAGTTCATTAAAGATAATAATGGCTAAAGTTTTGAACACGATCACAAAGTGGTATTAAAGTCATAACATTGTCAATTATCAATTATAGTCTGTGAACATACTTTCAACAGTTATCTTCGTCGCATGATCATCGCGACCTCTTTAAACTCCTGAGATTGCAAGGAGAACGTTTAGATGATGTAATAACTAAAAATTAACGGTGTAATTTCGGAATAATGTAATTCAAGTTGTGGTGCCGTATCGATTTGAGCGAACAATCGTTTCCATTCAATTGTGTAACCCAATAAATCGTTAATACACGCGATTGTATTTATCGAGCGTTCTTATGCCACTGATAATCGTGGACGAATAATCAGTTCTGGGGAATTGATGGTGCCGGTGTGTTCTAGACGCTAAACCAAATCGGCAATTAGAATGATGGATTAGTGGAAAATAAACTGTATTAACATTTGTTTTTTTTAGCTAACGGTTAAGTTATAACCGCCGCCCATTAACATTTGCAACACCTGTGTGGGGTTGCAAATACGTTGCCACCTTTAATAAAGTGCCACCTTAAAAAAAGCCCCGGGAACCACACTCGCCAGAAGAAACGCAGAAGTATAACACTTCCACTTCCAGTCTTCCGTGTGGTCGTGGTACTTACCCGGATGGACCTGCTCATTTGTGCAACATCGAGGACTGTTGCGTGGCCCTAGCACAGTATGCTTTTAATTTATATTTTAAGGCAATATTGTTTGACAGCAGCGATTTATTTGATTTTCAATTTGGACATAATTATAAAGTGATTTGTAAAGTCTGAGATGGCAAGGCTAATTTATTGAAATTATCTACT